TCCCCCTAGACCAGTCGATTAGTATTACTCCAAACATTTGGGATTACTATTTGGAGTTGGGGAGTTGTTATTGCTGCAGGGGTGTAGTTTCCTAGTCGAGGTCTTCGTCTTGTTCATTATTGTCATTGTCCGTGTCGGATAGTTCCTGAAGTGTGTCGGTTGTTTTTTTTATTTTATTTTTATTGTTGCTTAGTTGCTCCCAACTGGTCTTGTTAATTTGTGAGAAGTGCATGTTTTGTGCTAACGTGTCATGCGATAAGGCAGTTCCCATTGGGGGGTATTTTTTTTACTTTTACTATAAAGTGTTTACAAATTCCATGGAGTTTGATTAGAGTGCTTTTTTTACTTTGTTTATGTTTTCTTAGTTTATGTGTTATTTATGTCTTAAGTGTCATATTTATTTGGTCTCGGTTTGTTATACTTAAATTGTTTTGTTGACAGCTTTATTGCCCTGTTCAACTTTGGTGTGTGTCCGCGATCGGCTGTTTGGTTTTTTCTTGGAAAATTGACTTTTTATTTTATTTTGTTGCCGATGATTATTGTTTTTTTTGTAGGGATTAGGCAATGTGCCTTGTTTAGTTTAATTTGCAAATTATGTTAGGTCATGCGGTTGAGTTGAGGATACTTAGCATTTATTTGCAGGTGGCCTGTTCCTCCCTTGTTTGGCCTCTTTTGTTTGGCCAGTGCAAATCGTCCTGTTGACAGATGGTGCGACCGCTCAGGCACTGACACTTGACACTTTCTTGTCACTTAACACTTAACTATTTTGACCGTTTCACTATTTTCGTTTGCACTTGTCTGTAGTCTGTACTCACTGTATTTGTTACACTGCACTTGTTTGTTTATTTATTTATTTATTTATTATACCGGTTTATTATACCGGTATACCGATTACCGATATTTCCGAATACTTAGGTTCGTTTTTGGAACTTTATTACGTTTCTCTCGTATACGCTGCTAGGAGAGGAATCTTTAACTACTTGACGCGTCTATCCACTTCGAGTGTCAAGACCGAATTGATCTTATAATAAAATAAAATAATAACATTAAAATTTCTTAAAATATTCTATAAATTCCCGGGAATTTTGGTATTTTGTAATTGTTTATATTACCAACTGTTGATGCAATGGATAAGGGGGTTTTACAAAGCATTTATAAATTTATAGATTGTTCTATAAGTAAAGAAAAGTGATAGTTTTCTATTAAGTAGAAATATCTTGATTCAATATTCCACAAGATAGAATAGTATATTCTGTAATAAGTTTGGAATACAGCATATTCCGCTCGAGTGAAGAGTTTGTCACACGAGCCGAAGGCGAGTTTGACGGTTTCACGAGAGCGGAATATGCAATTCCAAACGTGTTTCAGACTATACTTTTTCTACGTTTCCAAAAAATACCATAGAAAAATAATTTAATTGGAAGAAAGTGAGGTTGGATCGGTCTAAAATTTGTTATATATTAAAAACAGAGATGGCGCCACGAGTGTTTATTCTGTCATCCGATGATAGAATATTTCATTCTGTAACATTTTACGTATGTCATTCCATAGATAAAAGTGATATTAGAACGGTCAAATTCCGTAATAGGAGTGAAAAACACATTTAACACACTGTTATTTCGTATTCTTAATTAATTAAATAAAAATCATCAAAGATCCTTATAGTCGCCCCTCGTATAATAATTATTATTAATAACTAATTACCAATCTAATACTGTAAAATCATATCATCAGTTTGGGTAAAAAGAGTCGCAAATAAAAAAACAAAATTTTCAGAAGCTTAAATTTAAACAATTAAGTTAGTTTTGTCCATATATTCCAGACATTTGGTGCTCAAAAAGGAGATAACCATAATATGGAATATTATTGAAAAAATGACGCCAAAAAACAGTTTTTTTGACAATATCTTCTTTATGACTTATTTTATGATGAAAATAGTTATAATAAGAAAAATTTAAACTAGAGAAATGTTCATATAATTTGTGCCCTAACCTTTTTTTAATAAATTTAATAGTACGAGCGCAAAGTCTACTCCAATACGCGTATTTGCGAAAACACTCCACCATGGGACTACCGTATAGTAAGAGGAGCGTTTTTTGTGATAATTTTTTTATCCAGCCATATCGGTCAAAACTTGCACTTTTTTTAAATTTCCGTTTTTAAACTTAGGTAGGTACCTATACTTTTTATAAAAAATATCAATTAAAAGATTTTACTATGAGATTTTCAATTTTCAAAATCTCTTCTAAATCTTTTTATTTTTATTTATGAAAAGTACCTATAAATATACGTATACGTTTAAAAAAGAAAATTTTAAAAAAAGTTCAATTTGGCCGATTATTCTACCTAGTAGGTACCTACTGTGCTCCCCACCCAAAAGTCCCACCTTGACATATTAATACAAATAACTGAGTTTATCTATCTGTCACTTTAACGATTATTTTCTGAAAATAATACGATATAAAATACAATATTTTTAAAATAATTTAAAATCATACAATTAGACAAATATTTTATAACAAATTATTATTTTTATGATTCAATGTGTTTGATGATTATTTTTTTATATATTTTGTAACCATTTGTAATATTTTTCTTGAATTTATCCGTTTAATTATGCTTTAATTAGACAAATGAAGGGTTAATAATAACTAAAACGATAGTGTTTTAAAATAGTTTCCCATGATTTTTTATGTATTTTAACCAAGAATTTTTAACATTCCAAGTAGCTACCATTTGGTATGGCAATTGTATTTTTATAATTTTTACATAACATTTTTATCAATTTTATTATGTTAGGTAGGGTTGTGCCTGGTCAATTGACCGCGGTAAATTGACCGAGATTTTTACCTATTTTGACAGGAGACATTTTGACCATGTCAAAATCGGTCAAAAACTTTTAATTCAACCGCGCGCGGCGGCGGCGCTACCTAGCGGAAAATATCAAAAGTATTAAAAAAAATTCGGTAGTGGACCATGGTGCAATCATAATAATGCATTTTAAAATAGTGTTCTGGGTCATTTTTGACTATTAATTTTAAGAGAGTAAAGACAATGGCGAGGGTGGGTTCAGTGAAGAGGATGATGTGCCGTTATCTACACATGCTAGCACCGTATTGTCGGTTTTTGGTTCTTAAAAGAATCTCATGTACCATCTTCAGGTTTTATCTGCTGGGCTGCTGTTGCTGCTCTGCTGCGAGCTAGACGTGACTGTTTTTACAGGGTTCCCTCTCACCTGGAAATCCTTGAAAACCTGGAATAGTCAGGGAATCCGTTTAGGTCCAATAAAATCAGGGAAAAGTCAGGGAATTTTGAAAGTCAGCGCAAAAGTCAGGGAATTTGTTAATATTATGGTAAAAGTCAGGGAAATTTATAAAACGGCTTGTTTTCTGACCCTTTTTCGTTGAAAGTCGCCGTATTGGCAACACTGGTATCGTAAACAATCGTTTTCGTACGGCGCCGCCGTAACGGCGGTAATTATCAAGGATTTTACACAAAAAAATTTTACACACTAAAAAATCGCAAAGCAATGCACCTGATAAACAAACTAACAATTAACAATAATTAAAACAATTGTCATAATTAATTTTAAATTGTTAAAGTTTGTTGTGCATTGCTTTGATGAATATGGTATATTTGTATAAATGTATACCAAAGAATGTTTTTTATGTTTGTACCAAAGAATCTATTTTATGTTAAACTGTTTTTATTAAAATTTTATTTTAATTTTTATTATAATATTTAATTTTTAAATAAATATTAACAAAAATAAACGCTATTTTTGACTTAACATAATTCTGATGGGACACTATTTTGGGAGATAATTGTCTTTATGTCTTTCTTTTATTTATCTGGAATTATAGGGACTTTGGTCAGGGAAAACCTAGAAAAGTCAGGGAATTTTAAATGGTTTTAAAAGAGGGAACCCTGTTTTATAAACAATGATATTATGAATGTTTTTTTTGTACCTCAGAATGGTTTCTTTATTTTTTGTTAGTTGTTTTTCAATAAATATACGTTTCTATTTAAAATTAAGTAACTTTACTCATGCCTTCATTTCTTTAGTAAAAACTAAGAAATTTGACCGGTGCTTAGTCAATTGACCACAAAAGATTTTGACCGGTCAATATTCCAACCCTTATGTTAGGTCAACAAATTTGTTCCACACTAAATATATATATATATATATATGTATATATAATATAATATATATGTGATCAAACGTTATTCGCATGCGCAACAGTGTTGCCATTTCTTTGTCAGTCTTCCTACTAGTCAAACTTGAAAATCCTACTAAATCGTCCCAACAGAACCACAACTAGGATTTGTTCATATATGTATAGATATAGATAGTGATAGATATATGGATTTTTTATACAGAAATAAATCTGACAAAAAATAGGATCAATAGTTTTTAATACAAAAATAAACAAAAACAGAACCACAACTAGGATTTTTTATACAAAAATAAATTAACTCTAAAGAAAAAACCAAACAACATTATTTTCTAAAATAAGGGTATACTCAGTGTGTTGCACTGTCTGAAGATGGCGCTGTTATAATGATTGTGCATATACTTTATACTTACCAATATGTGTGATTGTGTTATGTGATAATGGTTTTAACTTGTAATCTAGGATCATTATTAAATACATTTTATCCTAGCATGTAATAAAATATATTTTGATAACATTTTATTAATGCAAACTATTTCAAATCCTACTGTCCTGCTAACGATGAAATTTCCGACCGATACCCTATACTAGGGTAACAAAGCTTTGTTAAAGTTGAAGGGTGTCTACTGAAAACTACTAAATTTGGTAGGAATACTGAGTGATGCGCAATAACCCTAATAAGGAAAAGATTTTTTTTTATTAGGCATGCAAATAGTCCTAGGACTAACGAGAGCTGCTTAATGAAACAAACCTATTTTAAATCAAAATGTCTGTTAAAGACCCAATACTTGTAATAAAAATTAACATATTTATATTTTATTTTAGGGTGATAAAATCCTTAATAATCCTGGAGCATTCAGTTACCGCACAGAAAGTAAGTGTTACCAACACCGAGCCAAAAACAACAATAAACAGCGAGCAACTTAATTACACTCCCAAAGACAGCATACCGCAGCAAAGAATATTTCTCTCGTCGATAAGAAGCGCCTTAAGGAACCCCAGAATGAAATGCCTGCACGAAAAATGGCTGAACATGATCACATCTTGCCTGCCTTATTTCGGAGAAAATCTCACGCAAATATCCATAAGCGTCATACATCAAATTTGCAATAATGTCGAAGATATCGCCGCCAACTACGGTAGATCGCATTTGGACGACGAAATATGCGCAGACTACGCGGTAACGCAGCTGGAGTCGCTTACCATCCTCTGTCACTACTGCCTACTCGACTCGAGCCAGACGGCCAATCAGAACGTCCCGGCCAGCGCCGCGACCCCGGTCACCACCAATCCGGGCGAGATATTCAACAACCTTTTCAACGCCTTCTTCTCTCCGCTCGGCGTCGACGCCAACTTCTCCACGAAGCAAAACTCCGATCACTATCAGAGCGCGAGGAAGAAGATCCTCAGTCACATGCCTCGGATTATTTCCAGCGTTGCCAAGTTGTGGCAGACCGTGGTGAATCTGGAGAACGACTACAACGGGCTGTATGGCAACGCAAAGTTCGTGAAGCAGAATTTGTTGGAGTTTTTAAGTCCGATTTCTGTGAACCACGGCGCGAGTTTCGTGGCCGCTATAGCTGTCGCCTGGCATGAGAGGAGGAATCCCTTTTCAAGCGTTAAAACGGTAAGTGGATAGGCGATCATTTGATTACAATTTTTAGGTATTTAAACATTATTTTAACTAGAGTGGAAAACGATCTTTTGAATGGTCCAGATAGCACTTGTTTATCTTAAAAATTGTCATTCGTTTTTATTGGTCGAGCGTTACTACAAAAACGCGTAGGCCGTTTTCTCGGATCGTGTGACATATTTTTTAAATTTTAAACTAAAAAAATATGCTATAAAGATTTTTCTTTTATAGTATCAAGTTTTAGTTTTTTAGTTACGAGTTCTATTAGGCACGAGTGAAGTGTTCAATAAAAACGAGTGTTTAAAGAAGTTTATAAAACGAGTGGCATACCATTACTTTATCCACAACGAACACAAAGCCAATTTTTTTTGTTAAAAAATTGTATTGGTAATAAAATAATTTTCACAATTAGTATTATTTTACAAGAAATATACTTTATTTTAACGATTTTATGACATTTGACAACTGTCAACTAACTTAAAACTAAATTCAGCCCGTGAATAAAAACCTGTTGCTAAATCCAGTTTTAAGTTGGTTGACAGTTGTCAAATGTCATACAATCGTTAAAATAAAGTATATTTTTTGTAAAATAATACTAAATGTGAAAATTATTTCATTATCTCAATACAAAAATAAAAATACTTAAAAAAAAAATATGAAGATTGTACCTACTGTCGTTTTAATTTCGCTGGCAGTAAACTGGTTTTAACTTAATTTCTTTACTTTCACTGTGAAAAACTGCTTTTATATCGAATTTAAAAGGTCCATTTTTAAGGGATACATTTCGATTTACACATAAAAATTTGACATTTTCACCGGCGATTGTTTTTATTAATTTTACATATTATTATAAATTATTATTTTTCTCATTTTACACTCCACCATTGGAGGTATAGATATTAATCTCGCATATCTTAAGGCTTTTATATTCATAAATATGTAGGGAAAATTGCAAACAAATATCTTGCAGTTTAAAATTAATTTTGACAATTTTTACTTATTTTTACATATTATTTTTTTATATTTAATAGTTACAGATTTTTTAATAATTTGTTGCTGATACCTATATTATATCGTTATTGGCATCAAAAATATTGGTATCGGCAAAAAAATAGGTCGATAACTAATTATTACTGTACCTAGGAATAAAAAATGCCCTAGCATTTATTTTTGGAGAAGGCAAATTGAGCACAAACTAGAAAAAACGAGGATAACGAGAAATTCCCGTTATTTTTCTTGTTTATTCTCAATATTTCCTAAAATATTCTGATTTTTTATTCTCGATAAGTTTCTCAATTTTCCCAATGTGAGAAGATTACCAGATTTTTCAATATTTTTAAAGGTATGACATACTTTATAGATGACCCCTAAGTTATAAAAAAATAAGTAAAATCTTCTTAAATCACACAAAGTAAATACAAATGATTTAAGGAGGTTCGGGACCGTTTTTCAAAATAATACCATAATTGGATAATAAAAATGTTTACTGCCAAAATTTCAACTTCAGTTCCCACACTGCTTTTAAGAAATAAATTGTTTAAATTTGGTTTTTTACATACATTTTTATTAATAATTAATTAATCAAAATGTTTATATACATGGGAGTAATTAAAGAAAACATTTTTGAAGCACTGTAGCTTTTATTGAAATATTACAATGTTATGAAATTTTTAATTAACATTATTAATTAATAATTTGACATTTTTAAACAATTTTATAAATTTTGCAAGTTATTTTACCTCTCAATTAATAAATTATTATTAAAAATTAATAGGTCAAGTGATACAGCGAAACGGGTCGCAATGTTGCCACTTGTATCGCGTTTTACCTTTTACCAGTCAGTAGTTTCGAGCATTTTACTGAGAATTTTTGAGCATATTCAAGGGAAAGTTTTTAAAATAAGACGTCAAAAGACAAGGTCCAAAATAAAGCTTAAGAAAAGTAGCGCAAAAGTAGTAGTCAAAATATATTAAAAAATATTCTTTTTAAGGTTTTACCAGAACCAAATGCCGGCCAAAACAATCTAGTTTACTTGATATCGGCTATAAGAGTCATTCCACTCGATAATTTAGTACAAACTGTTACGTCTGTGATAAAAAACCCTCCCCATACCGAAGATTGTAGTAATGACAGCCTGGACGTGTCCGTATTGGAACTTTTTTATTGGTAAGAAAAAAATAAAAAAGTATTTTGTCCATATTACTACTAATATTAATAATTATTAAAATTATTTCATTAATTGTTATTCTTTTAGTTATATGCGTAAGGCCTCCGCCACGCAGCTGTCAGAAGCTTGGGGTTCGTTATTAGCTCTGATCAGAGAGGGCTGCTCTCTATCGCCGCCGGCTCAGTTTTTGTTGTCGGCCCTCTTGCACGAATTAATGATAAAATGTTGTCCATTGGAAGAACGAAAAGACCAGAAAGACTTGCAGGATGCAACTGCAAAAGTAAGCGAAATATTTGCCAAGTTAAGAAAGGGTTTTAATATATTTTTTTAGCTTATCGAGTGTGTCTCACAAGTGTGCGGTTCTTGTTTGGAGCAAACCACGTGGTTGCGGCGAAATTTGGCCGTGAAAGAGCAAGAGGATGAAAGTTTGCCAGAACCTAGTAGTATTATTAGCGGTTCATCAAATGATATTGCTTTTGCCAATAGTTATAGTGTGCAGGCTCAACTGGTAAGTTTTTAGACTTTATAATAATTATTAAATGAACAGAAATAGTAGATTAATTACTAAATGTCAAAACTAGGTTTTATCTGAAATATTGGCCCCAATCTTGGACATATGCTTCGGCTCGTCAGAAAAAGATAAAGTCAACACCATCCTGACCTCCTTGATGTACAACATAGTCCCGTATCTGAAAAACCACACGGTCAAAAACATGCCCAGCTTCTACGCATGCTCCAAGCTTTTAGCCAGCTTAAGTAGTTACCAGTACACCCGGAAAGCATGGAAAAAGGACGTTTTCGACTTGCTGCTCGACAATTGTCTTTTCCAAATGGATCATCAGTGTTTGAAGTTCTGGCGGACCATTGTCGATAACTTGATGACGCACGATAATACTACCTTCAAGGATTTAATGAGTAAATACTTAACAGCTAATGAATACATTTGTTTACGTTATTTCCTGTGTTTTAGGTCGAGTAACGATGACGCAAAGTGGAAGCCTAAACCTATTCACATCAAGAGAACAAGAATACGAACAAAAAGCGCAACTGCTTAAAAGATTAGCATACGTTATATTTTGCAGCGAAATGGATCAATACGCAAAATATATGCCTGATATACAAGGTAAACACTTTAATTTAAAAAAAATAAACAAAATTCTAAATTATTATTATTTCAGAACAACTTACAACCAGTCTAAGGCTGAACGTGCCAAACATACAGGCGCAAGTGTTTCTGTGTTTCCGTGTTTTACTAATAAGGATGAGTCCTTTGCATGTGACGTCACTATGGCCTATTATTATAAGTGAGATGTTGCAAGTTTTCATACAAATCGAGCAGGAACTTTCCAAAACGTCTGAGGAGTTCAGGTATGTACAAATTTATATTTTTACATGTGTTTGTGGTATGTAAAGTAGTGAATGATGCATGAATAATTTAGTATACAATTAAACAGTTTTTTTTTGTTGGAACAAATTGGTTAAGTTTGTATCAGGGCCGTAGCCAGGGTGTATCTGCTGCCATGACCATGGTTTTATAGCCAGGGCATCATAGGCTAATTAAAATACAAGCATTAATGTATAAGTGCATTTTACGCCAAATCGGCAACTTTTAAACTCGACCTGAATGAAATTTTCGTTTCTGTAGATTATTTAATTTTTTTATACCTAAACGAAAATTTCAAAACATTATGCTGATATTTTTTTTTAATTTTTCGTTAACAACTTCCGTTTAAAAAAAAAATACAAAAGTAATATTTAATTAAGTCCTATTCTGTGAAATTTTTTAGTTTTTTTGTGGAAAAAATTACGCATTTTTTTTTACTTTAATTTATTCTGCTTAATGCCCCAAATCCCTTGGTGGGCCAACTGTTTTTTATTGCAGAACCTTTTAAATTTTTTCACGATCTATTTTGTTTTTATAATAAAATAAATGTTAATAAACATAAAAAGTAGAAAGAAAGGTTGGTCCAGTATGGAATTTGGGAAATTAAACTCAAAAATTTTACGAATAATTTGAAAAAGAAGTTTTTGAAAAAGTTATGTGTTTAAAAAAGCTAAAATTTAAAAAAAAATCACAGACAGTTTTAGTAGGGTACTAAATTTTAGTCAAAGGGGTCGATTTGACTCATACATATGAGGAGCGTTTATTCAAAAAGGGACATGTCCATTTTAGCGATTTGCAGAAATAAGTCAAAAGCAAAGGAATTCTGTTATTTTTGACTTGTTTCTGCAAATCGCTAAAATGGACATGTCCCTTTTTGAATAAACGCTCCTCATATATGGGCAAAAATTTTGCCAAGGCAGAGAACTAGTTTAAAAGTTTTTATATTTTTTAATATAGCAGTTTAATGTGAATAATGCGCATAATCTCGAATGTAATACTATATATAGTATACTTTATCTACTCCAATAAGTAGATAACTAAATGATTATCAAAAATAAATAACTAAAATCTGACATCTGTCAAATGGTTAACCTCACTTTTTACCAATTTTAATTGTTATTATAGTCGCTTTCTCCAAATTTAAAACGCGATTGGTTCAAACCACAGTGAATAATGAAATCGGCCAATCACTGATTCCTAACAACGTGAATATTGAGTTCATTATGCCCGTTGTCAGGCAGGGAATTTATAATGTTAACATTATTCACGGAAAAACCCAATATTATGTATTATGTATGTATATTATGTATCAAGTTTGATAAACGCTATTTTAGTATCGAGCGAGTGTTTAATTAAATGAGTGTCTAGAAAATAGGTATTGGCGTTGAGAAACTTTTGTATTTTGTATTGAAATAATAAAATAATTTTTACATTTACTACTATTTTACAAGAAGGGCACTTGCTAAGCCCGTGACTAAAACGCCATAAAGCCACAACTTGTCAATGTGTATTTAAAAGATCACTTAGTGTCATGAAAACATGTACCCACAATAATTGGCGTTTTAAAGGTGGGAGTAGAAAAAATAACAATATGTGATGTGACATAATGACATGTATGTTGCTGTTTTATAAAATATTAAGGATATTTATTATTGTGCAGGAAGACAATTATATCTTAAACTGCGATATTAAAAAATATTTTTAGTTTTAAATTAGTTTAAGCCTATCAGGGCCGTTCCCTTATTCGCCCCACTGGCTACGGCGTTGGTTTGTATTGAACAGTTAGATAATTTTATAAAATTGGTAACAAGTTGTTTTTAAAATCGTCATAATATGGTCAAAATCATTTTAAGGCTTACCAATATAATAGTTATTAATAATAGTTGCTTAAACCTGTCCAAATATAAAAAAATACATGTACGCTTAGACCACAGACAATTTCAGACAATTTAATTAAATTCGAGTTTTTTATCATTTAATCCATAATAAATATATTATGTAGGTATGTTATGTTTATGTTTTCATTAGAATTCACCATTTTTAGTGCCAACAATTTTATTTATGTTATTTATTAAGGGGCCGTCCATAAATATCGTGACCCTAAAAATGGTCAAAATTGAACTTCTCCCCCGTGACAGAATATGAGGATGTAAAGGGTCATGTGGCGAATTATCGAACTTCCCTACTTTTTTCCATTATTTTTTGCAATAATCTAAATAAACAAGAAGCAAATAAGCAATTTTATTCGATTTACTTTGTCACGTGACGTTTTAATAAACCTTCCCCTCTCCAGAGATATAAGAACGGCCCCTAATATCATTTTTATCAGAAATATTGACATTTGATTTTACAAAAAAATATACCTTGTCAAACAAAGAAGGATGGATGACTCTATCAGTTTACAATACTATCAGAACACGAAATAAAGCCTACAAAAAAATGAAAAAATACCCTAGAAGTGAAACTTTTAAACAAAACTTTCTTGAACTAAAAAATGAATGTAAAAAAACAATAAAAAAAGCTAAGTTAATGTACTACAAGGAACAAATAAATACAGCAGACGGAGATGCCAAGAAACTATGGAGAATAATAAAAGGATTAAAAAATCAAGAAACCACGACAAAACCTAAAATCAAAAAAATAAAAACCAACAACATTACCACAACTGAACCAAAGGCTATAGCCAATATATTAAATAACTACTATGCCAATGTAGGGACAAACCTAGCAATGCAAATAAAAGGAAAAATGCAAAATAAGGAAGAACAGTTAAAATACAATGTAAAAATGTCAATGTACCTAAGACCCACACACCTAAAAGAAATAATTGGAATAATAGACAACCTGAAATCAAATGCTTCGTCTGGCCATGACAAGATAAAACCTAACTTAATAAAAAAACTTAAACATGTCATTGCCCCAGTATTACTCCAACTAATAAATACGCAAATGAAAAAAGGGACGTTTCCAGATGAACTCAAAATAGCAAGAATCACACCGATATACAAGTCAGCAGACAAAACTGAACCTGGAAATTATAGACCAATTGCAAATCTAACAGTATTCAGCAAGATTTTTGAAAAAGTACTACATAAAAGGTTATCAGAACACATACATAATACAGATATTCTAACAGCTAGCCAACACGGATTTCAAACACATAAAGGAACAACAACAGCAATAAGCAACTTAATGAACTACATTCTAACACAACTTGACAACAAACTAACGGTAACTGGTTTAGTACTAGATTACAAAAAGGCATTTGACACAGTGAACCTTGACTTATTAATTTCAAAAATGAAAAATATGGGAGTAACTGGAAATTCTCTAAACATGTTCCAATCATATCTAACAAATCGACGCCAGTTTACAGTGGTAGGGGACCAATGCAGCACAATAGAGGAAATCAAATATGGTGTTCCTCAGGGGTCAATTCTGGGTACTTACTTTACATTAATGATCTTAGCCTATATAAAATACACGGTAAAATGCTTATGTATGCAGATGACTTGGCAATTTTTTACAAGAACGAAAACAACAAAGACACAGAAAGTAAAATTAAACAAGACTTAAATACACTAAAAAAATGGACCAATTCTAATCAACTTACCCTAAATCATAAAAAATGTCACTTTATAAACTTTGAATCCAGAACAAGAGAACATCAAATTAACATCAAAATCAAGGAGCCACTAAAGGAAGTTAAAACAATCAAATACCTGGGACTACACATTGACAATAAACTAAACTGGAAGCAACACATACATAAACTAAATGAATCTCTCTCTTCATACATATACCTAATGAACAAAATAGCAAACACACTTCCTCTCCCAGTGAACCAAACCGTGACTTATGACCTAAAATTTACGTAACACGTAGATTATATCTAGGTAATACAATTTTTACGTCATTGTGACATAATACTGACCCAAAACGTGACTTTTATATGATGTAATTAAATGACTTACATATTACGTACATCTTATGTAATATTAAAGTCATATCGTGACGTAACATTAAAGTCACTTTTCTTACGTAAGACTGACATAAGAAATCTGTCATAATATTACATAAGTTTTAGGTCACTGTCTTACGTAAGACTGACGTAATAAATCTGTCATAATATTACCTAAGTTTAAGGTCACTTTCTTACGTAAGGCTGACGTAAGAAATACGTCATATTATTACATACGTTTTAGGTCACTTTCTTACGTAAGACTGACGTAAGAAATATGTCAAACCATTACATAAGTTTAAGGTCACTTTGTAAGGTAAGACTGACATAAGAAATCTGTCATACATATTATTTAGACGAACTAGATGCAAAAGTAATTTTAAAGTATGAAATTCACTGTATTTTAATGTTTGAATTAAACTAATTTCAATGAATGGATTTTTATTTTCAATGAATGAAATAGGCAAACATAATTTTTATTTTTTATTGATTGAAATGGTTAATTCCAATCATTGAGTAAAATAACGTAAGTAAATTCTATTAATTGAAATTGACGCCGATTATAATTATTTTAAACAATAAAATAGATACTTTTCCTTACCAATCAGTTTAATTCAAACATTAAAATACAGCAAATTTCATATTTCGAAATTACTTTTGCATCTAGCATGATGAAAGAAATAACGCGAAGTTCCTTGAATTTTTTGGCTACTTAGTACTTGGTCGATTAAATGAAAATATGGTTTAAAGTTAATCAAAAAATAATGTATCTTAATTTAATATGTAATAAACATCATATAGATTTTTATGATTCCGGTTCCTACTGCTTTATGACGTAAAAAATTTTGAAAATAGCGTCGTACTTTCAAAAGTACACATTTTATTCAATGGTCATGTGAAAAATCATGTAGGTACTCATAATCATGGTTGCAAGTACTTGCAAGTACCTACTTATTTTTTAAATTGTAAAAAATTATCAACAAAAGATTTACGTGTTATTACGTGTTATTTTGTATTGTATGTTACTGTTATTATTTTTTGAAAATTTTTGAAAATGGCGCTTTTGGTGAAAGTGGAATTTTTTTGTTCCACCCCATACAATCGAAAAAATAAGTAGTTCGCTTTAAAAGACCTGAAATGATATTTCACTCACTTCAAATTTTTTTAAATGTGACCTTGGCAGTACGACGTCATTTTTTTTTTTAATCCATGCATGTCAAAAAATGTTACCTATAGCTAGGGACAATATTCAACATTTAAAAATTATTTTTATTTTAGAAATTTAAAATTTTAGTATTTTATTACCTATTAAAATACTAAAATTTTAAATTTCTAAAATAAAAATAATTTTTAAATGTTGAATATTGTCCCTAGCTATAGCTATAGCTACTCATAAAAAGCGATTTTTTTTGTTCTTATTTCTGAAATTAGATAAAGTATCAGCTTGCAATAAATACCTTTTCGAAAATGATTCCATTTCCCATTGAAAAAAATGTGACCTTTTGACAGTACGACGCCATTTTAGAAAAAAGTAGTACCCTTGTCTCTGGTAATACCTATATATTTAATGCCTTGTTTAACATACTAAAATTTCAATTTCCAAATACAGAGGTTCAAAAAATAAAACTATAATAAATAATACAACCAAATTTAAAGAATTTAGTATTATAATATAATATAGTATAATTATATATTAATATAATACCTATAATAATAGATAGGTATTTGCACAATATTGTGGGTATTAGTATATTTTTTAAATTTAAAAAATGATAAATAAAAGAAATGAAATTGACAAACGAAATTATTTAAGCACACTGAGAATATTTAGTATTGAGAAACCAAGAGATTTTTAAAAATATATGTAAACTATTAAAGAATTTTTCATTGATAAACAAATTTTATAATAATATTATAATATGGTCCGGTTATTGTGTTTCAGACAAATAAGGGTAATGTTGTCAAATAACATTGATATATTAATTGTTAACAGTTACAATATGCAGTAGTGGTTGCCTATGATAAGTAGGCATCTACTATAATATAATAGAAATCTACTTATCATGGGCAACCCTTATTGCATAATACATCTCGCTTATGTGGCACTATTCGTTAAGTATATAAGTTGACACTGGCTGCATTGCAATTTGAGATTTAGGAATCCGAACCTCGGAAAATAAATGAGTCACGAATTGTGGCCCACGATTAAATTTAGCTTTTTCAATTCTTTGTGGCCCACTGCTTAAACAGTGCGGCACTGACAGTGCCTGCTTTGCAAGGCCAAAGCGGCGAACCCACAATTTTTGTCATTTGGAAGAGGGAACTGATTTCAACCAAGTGAGTTGTTTCAGTATTCACTTATTTTGCCCCATGATGAAAAATAAGGAAGGGGGCTTCGTCATTCTGAGGTCATATTTATGTCACATTTATTACGTAAATATTATGTAATGGTATTATGTCAGTGTTACATCAAGATGTTTACGTCATATTTATGTCATATTTATTACGTCAGAGTCTGACGTAAGGAAGTGTGAAATAATGACTCTTGTATGACTCAAGTGTGACCTATATCTTACGTAAGCGTGACTTGATATGACGTCATATTTACGTCATATTTACGTAATTGTGTTTACTGGGCTTAAACAAAGAATCTTAGTCTATGATTCCTATATTAAGAGTCAATTGGCATACCTCATACCTTTTTGGGCAACAGCAAACGAAACCGCTAAAAAATCGTTGCAGCGAAATCAAAATAAAATATTAAAGATTATGCACAAAATGGACAAATACATGCCTACTGAACAACTTTATAAGATCACCAAACAGCTAAATATCGAAGAGCTTAGACAACTAGAAACCCATAAATTAGTGCACAAGATCATAACAAATAAGATACTGGATGAAGAAGTAACATTTTGAAAAAGAGCGGACACACATGAACATAATACAAGAGGACGTGAACAAATAGACATAGAAAGATCCAAAACAAAATATGGAGAAATGAAAATAAAACATCAAGGGTACAAACTATACAACAAATTACCAGAGAATATAAAAAACCTACCCGAGACGACTTTCAAAACCAACTTGAAGACTTTTATTTTGCACCAAAGAATATCTACTTAATATATTTACTTATTTATTATTTATCATATAAATCCAATATTATACATACTTATTTATTTATTATATTTATACTTATCTGATATTATCGCTACTGTGATATTTAGGATGTACTTTTTTAAATAAAAAAAAAATAAAAAATAAAATAAATAAAAGTAGAAATAATTGGTATGCCCAGCCTTTTTTATATTTATATTGATGTGCGAATTTTCCATACAATTTTTTAATTTGGACTACTGTGCGAATTTGTCCCTAACATTTTTTAATGATGAACTACTGGGCAAATTTGTCCTACCATTTTTTAAATTTATCCGTTTTATCTTGCATAAAGCGATGTTTTGGTTTACTGCAAAGAAGTTTCTCTTGAGATAAACGAAGTTTACCTCATACATTAAAGATTGTATTTTGTATTAGAACTTGTTGTATGCATTTTTGAGTATTTAATATGTATTAGGCAATTACTGATGTGTTTAATTAACCACTGTTTTGTTTTTGCTTTTTATGGTGAATCACAGGCCAATGAGTAACAGGTAAATGGATTTTTAACTAACATTTTAATAATCGCTTTTGTGCTTTCTGTTTTTGTATTGCTTTACATAACATTTTTAACGATTTGTAAGATTTTGAAAGATCATTTAAATTACTTTTACATTTGCTTTAATAGACATTACATACAGGGTGTCCCGAAAATGACATGTAATGTATAATATTATATTATTATACAAGGTATATTATACGGAATAAGGATGAGGTTTGCATCTGGAGCCGTCAGGTAATTTTCATAAATAACACAATTTATTATAACCTCACTTTTTACCGATTTTAAAGATAATTATAGTCGCCACTCGTATATATAAACAAATCTGCCACCTGTTAACCTTACTTTTTCCCAATTTAAAACCGAATTGGTTCAAATAACAGTGAATATTGAAATAAGCCAATCACTGATGCCTAACAACGTGAATAATGAGTTCAATATTCCTGTTGTTAGGCCGGGCCTAAACCCAAATAATGTCAATAATATGCAACAAGTAGAAAAAATTGTATTCAACATCCATTTAATTTCTTAACTTCAACCAGTGTGCGAAATTCTACTTCACCAAAGAGCTGAAGTTGAAATTGAAAAAAAAGGTTAAAACTGCTTATAAATGTCAAAATATCAAATAAAATTGGCTTTAAATTCCTTGCAATAATTGAATAAAATATTGTGTGCGACTATTGGTCCAATGAGTTTTTGGGTTAAAATTGTATTATTTAGAAACTATTTATTCCATAAAAAAATTTTTGACATAAATTGACATAAAATTCACCTGTCAACCAACCAACCTGCCTTGTTTAAATAGTTTCCACAACTGTTTTTAATGAATAATATTTCAGCATATTATTAGCTTCACAGCCTGGGTTCCCCTTAAATCAAGTGATTTTTTTTATTTAAATCAATGATTTAAATCAGTTTTTAAAAAAGTTTCTAAAATCTAAAAAAACACTTAAAAGATCTAAAACTAAAGCACTATTTAAATAAATTCACATGCATAGAAAAACTGCTTATTTTGTTAAATAAAATAATAAAGTAATATACAAAGAAATATATAACAGTTGCGGATGGTGGTTTATCTGTTTATAAAGTAGTGCCATAATATATAGTTATTTTTATTATTTTTTTTAATAGTACACTTTATTAAAAAATCTTATAATTTTGAATATCTTAATAAAAATTAAAAAAAATCATTTTTGTAGATTTTTTTATTTTTTAAATAAAAATCATTGATTTTAAATTTTTTTAAATAATGATTTTTTTTTAAATCATGATTTTTTCAAACCCTGCACACAGCATTTCATTTTTTAACTTAAATACTTAATAACTTGAATCTAATAATAAACTCTTTTATACCTAGACTAACTAACTGTTCCCCTAGTGCGCCATTTTTTGGACACCCTGTATATCATTTTTTAAATACTTTATAAAAATATATACTTTTAATTAAAATTAATCTTTGACGTCACACCTACTAGTGTAACAGTCATGTCAAGACTTACAAATGAAGTATATGAAAAAATAAAAATAGGAAAATAACCAATTTTGTTGACAGTTGAAACCTTTTTACAGCGTATCTTGGTTTAAAGCTCTAAAAAGTAAGTTTTAAATTTAAAATCACATCTAGTTTGTACTTTACTGCGAATTCCAAAAGATTTAAATACTTAAAGGAACTTGAACAAAACCTAGAAACAGATGTTTATTATTGAACTACTAATTAAAATTTGCGCCTCCAGTATGTACTAGAAACCAATGTTGAATATTTAACTACATAATTTATTCGTACGCGATTCTTGACACGCCTGTTCCACCAATAGTGACGTCACGCTACTGAGAGAATTTATCGATTTTCAAAATTCTTTTAACGCAAAAATCGTTTTTTTAACGGTAGATATTCCATAGAAGTGATTTTACAATGATTTTTGACATTATATCCAACCCCATTCTAATTTAATTTTTTTATTCTAAACTTTTTCATCCCTTCAAATTAGCTGGTAGTTTTTCTTTTAATTTTTATTTTGCACGGTTTTCGTTTTTATTTTGATTAGTGCGCACATCAAACTAATGTCTACTCTGGACGCAAGCTGGGCGACCAATAGCAGCAACGGACTACACGCCCTTGGCAATCCTCATTGGTTAAAACTACATCTATCGACAGCCAAGCTGCTAGATTGTGCGTTACTATTACCGGCCACTTCCTTACCGCAGTTCCAAATGTAAGTTTTTTGTTGATTAGATAATTTGCGAATCCAGTTTTTGGCCTCCTAAAATAAAATTACTCTTTTGGTAATTAGGTATAGATGGGCCTTCGTCGGAGACGATTTAGAGCGCCTGAACGAGTCCAATCAAATCGCTTTCCTGCCTCACGTGCTTCGCATAGCCGACCTGATGGAAAAAAGATACGTAGACACGCCGATCGAAACTCTGACTATGAAACGTAACGAATTGCTACTAAAAATGAACAGTATATCTCAATTAAAGGATTTGCACGGTTTCTTTAAAACGTTGAGTTTGTGTTCGAACCGACATCGAACCGAGTGCAGTCGAGCTGTCACGAACGATTATTTGCTGTTGGACAGGCAGTCCGACAAAAAGATGGACTTGATTTTGGAGAAAATCGACAAGGTGATCGAGGAAGACTTTCTAGACAGAATTCCAAGGTGAGGGGGCGTTGCGAATGCCCAAAGAAATCAGTATTAAATCGGTTGCATTTTATTAGGGGACTAATTGAATTGATTTTATTTATTTTTGTATACTGTCCTTTTTTTTTTGTTACACATTGTCTGTTTGTTTACATGCATATCTAGGTTGTTTATTATATTATTATTAATTAATTCTAAAAACGTTGATCTATTGATATAAATATTATTTATTTTTTAGCTGTATCTAGTTTTGTTTTAATATCCACTGTTATTTTTTGGCAGGTGCAATTAATTTTATTGTAAATATTAGCATTTATAACATTGTGATTTTATATTGTGATGTAACTAAGAACGTGGACAATTCTTGTCTAATTGTTGTATTATGTGTATTTTAACAACCTAAAAATGTAGTTAATTATACATTTTGCTACAGTAATAAATTATGTTGGGATATATTTTAAAAACTTGTTTTATTTATACAATTTATTCCATATATACAATAAATTAAGTCCACTTTAGGTCCGCAATCAGAGAAACATGGTCAGATGGGAAAGTTATGCTTGGCAACGCTGTATTTTGCTGAAGTTCCTCGTCGCTGGGAAAAGGCACCACTTGTGTAACACTTAAATTTGTTTTTTCGTAGAAAATATAATCCAAACAATCCGCGAAACCCGCCGTAAAGTTCGTATACTTAGGTGTCCCACACGCACTGTCCAAACTGAAGGGTTGTTTAAACGATAACGTATCAATAGATTCTTCTTTATTACTTTGAAAGTCGATAAAGTCACTTGGAACTTCACCTGTTGTGTACAACTTAAAAATGCCGCATTCCGGTACACTGTTGAAATCTCCGCAAAATACCAAGGATATTCTTTTGGATACTTTGGTTTTCAGTTGCTCTATGAACTTTTCAAGGTATCTTATTGATACACCCCCATGGATTAACCTTACATGGTCTGCATCTGGGTGAAAATATAAATGTATATTTGCCACCACCAATACCTCATCATTTTCCAAAGATTCCACCACACTCACTTGTATAGTTGTAGTTCTTTCCAAAATCCTTTTGGTGAGTTGCGCATTTTTTGAAACTTTCTCCCATATATCAGAATATATTGGGTCTTTATCCAAATGTTCAGAAAATACAACCCTATTTGTTTCCAGGATTTTAAACCTATTTTTGTTGTAAAAAAATGCCAACCCTTCCACAACTTCACCCCCTTTAACTGAGAATTCACCTAAATAACCGAGATTTTCCATAACAGGTTGTAAATCATGTAAAAAAACTTTTCTATCAACTTCTTGCAAACAAATTATATCAGCATTAAACCCAGATATTTCCTTTCTTATTAATTGCTTTCTATAATCAATATTTAATGCATAAGGTGGACAATATGGGAACAAAACAGTCCTGGTGTAATCTGAATCACAATATAAGTCAGCTAGTATATTATAAGAAACCACACGAAATTCATTCCCCTGTAACCTATTATTCGTAAATAAATGTCTTGTTTCAAAGGGGCAATTGCCAGGTCCAGCCTCGACTTTACAGGTAGAATGAGCTTCTAATGTGGGGCCCTCATCAAAAGTTTCATTTTTAGGTGTACAAGCAACTTTTAGGTAGTAATCAATATCATTATTAGTTGGAGTGTAAGTGAAACCCTATTTCCTCCCAATTTACTTTGTCTTTGCTTTTAAACCACACAAACATTGAAAGATTTAAATCTGTATAAACTGACTCAAATTTGCTTGGATATACAGGAAATGTGGATAAAATGCAGGACGGTAAACTTATATTTTCAACCCATGGTGAATTAATAATTATTTTGTACTTTTTATCCAATAAATTCAATATGATACTACTCTCAGTAGTAAATACCTCATAACATAAAGATTCCTTATTAACTTCCTTATTGTTATCAAGTAAAGAAACCAAAATCTTCTTTGAATCAGATTCCGATTCAGTTTTCCTTTTCTTGTTTTTCTTATTCACTACTTTTTCTACATTCGTGGTAACTCTATTTAACAAACTTTCAACTTTTTCGTTTAAATTTCTGCAAAAATTAAATTGCCTATCCACTTTTAAATCCGTATTAACATACTGAAATGTTAATTGAAACTGATCCTTGTCTTTTATTTCGCGAAAATAGGCGTTTTCCATATTGTACACGTATTTTTGTATACTTCTGCTTTGAAAGTAAACTCTAATTAATCTGGATTTTAACAACACCATATGCATTTATAAAAAAATAGAAATTTGTGAAAAATATGAAACAAATAGGTTATGATATATAACCTACAAATGTCACTTCTGAATCAGAAGTTCTGACAGTTGTCAACATAACAAAATTTAATATAAGATATTAAATTTTGATTTTCAATAACCCTCCAATAATTTTCGTTGAAAGGCACCTTTTAACCTACATAACAACGTTTCTAAATTTTCATAATAAACTGTATTTTTTTGCAAAAATTAAAAATATAAATGCTTATTTAAATTTCGCGGATTTAGTAATGTAGTGTTGCCAACATAACCTGTCGAGTTGTCAACTTTCAAAACCTGTCAACCTGTGTCGTAGTGACAAATCATGGGAAAACAGTGAAAGAAAAATTTAATTAAATCGTGTATAGAACGAAATCAAAATGGTTTTAGCGGATTTAGGTCGTAAAATAACGACTGCTTTGCAGTCGTTAAGCAAAGCAACCATCATAAACGAAGAGGTAAATATAAACAGATGTTTTATAGGTTATAGCAAAACTTCAACATCTTGTGCCTTATTTAGGTTTTAAATGGCATGCTTAAAGAAATTTGTGCAGCACTGCTGGAAGCTGATGTTAACATTAGACTGGTTAAACAACTGAGGGAAAATGTACGGTCTGTTATTGATTTTGACGAAATGGCTGGAGGTCTTAATAAAAGGAGGATGATACAAAGTGCTGTATTTAAGGAACTTGTCAAAGTAAGAAAATCGTATATGGATTGTTCCCCACCAGATCCTTAAATCTTTTTTTTAGCTTGTGGACCCAGGAGTAAAGCCATACAACTTGGTTAAAGGCAAACCAAATGTTATTATGTTTGTAGGTTTACAAGGTTCCGGTAAAACCACGACCTGTACAAAATTAGCTTATCACTATCAGAAAAAAAACTGGAAGGCGTCTTTGGTGTGTGCCGATACATTCAGAGCTGGTGCTTATGATCAAGTAAAACAAAATTGTACCAAGGCTAGAATTCCTTTCTATGGAAGGTATGAACATGAATTATAAACCAATAGTTAGTGATTAATGAATTGTATTTTAGTTATACAGAAGTAGATCCTGTGGTAATTGCCCAAGATGGTGTGGATATGTTTAAGAAAGAAGGGTTTGAAGTTATTATTGTGGATACCAGTGGAAGGCATAAACAGGAAGAATCATTGTTTGAGGAGATGTTGGCAGTTTCTAATGCTGTTGTATGTATTTTAAATTAACTATTAAGTTTAAAAATTACAGCAAAAATTGGGGGGTTGCAGAATATGATACACTTTTAGCACTTTTCAATTAGTTTTAGGTTTGTTTAAAATTAAAAAAGGTAAAAAGGTTAACATTTTCACAAATTTCTGCATACCTACCTTTAAATATCAAAATATTCAGGTACAATATTTATAATTAGTGTCATATTCTGCATTAAAAATTATTATAATTATAATTAGTCGAAATCAAAAAGAAGAATTAACCAGAATCATTTATTGCTAATTTATTTAAAATTAACTAAATTAAAATAAAAAGACTAAAAAATTATAAAACTAACTCATTCAATACAATAATATAAACTAAACATTGCAACTATACTTTTTGTATTCTAAAACGCTGAAATATAGAAAATTTTGCTTCTATATTTTAGAAAGTTAAAAGATTTGCGTTAAATATACTGCCGTGCTAAGATAAACCACTGTATATGCAATATTCAGTATTAAAGGACAAAAGATAATTTTTATTGTTTTTAACAATAAAAATGATCCTTTGTCCTTTATAACTTAATATTGTATATACGGGGGTTTGGCTTAGCAGGGCAGTGATTTTAACCGGATTTGTTTTAAAGTGTAGAAATTGATAAATTGTATTTTTGGAGCAAAAAACGCCATATTTTTACAAAAAACAAGGCCTACTATGTCAGTTTTTGAGAGGAAATTTTTAAGAATTCTTATTTGATTATTACACTGAGAAAAAAGTTTATGGTTCCCAAATAAAAAGAATAATTAAATATGGGATATGGGCATTGTTTATTTATCCTACATATATTTTTATTCCTGACACATAAAGTTTTACTAAAGTAAATTTATCGTTATTATTTCGACTATTTAGAGGTAATAAACAATATATTTACTATTAATAAAAAGTATTAGCTACACAGTTTATTTGTCACATTTTTTCTCAGTGTAGCGATTAAAAAAAAATCTATGCATGGTACTGGATTCACCATCCCGCAAAAAGACCCTATACTAAGTTTTATGAAAATTTTTAAGTAGGAACGATTTTGTAGCCAAATTAAAAATGAACAATAATAACTATTTAAAAAAATTTATTGTCAAGTTATCCATGAAAAAACATTAAAATAAATTTAAATTAATAGTAACATGGTATATTTAAAAACGCAAAACAACAATGAAACAAAGAATTGAGAATTCAAAAAATTCTAGAGATTCTGTAGACAATTAGATTTTCGTCACCTCTACTGCACAAGAACTATGGGCTAGGGCAATACAAGCCTGCGCAGTCATTACTCCAGAACAAATATGAAAGTGTATTGATATAAATGGTGAATTTTTGGAATTTTCTATTTTTTGTTTCATTGTTGTTTAAGTTTATTTTGCGTTTTGTATTTGTTAAAATTAAGCATAAGAATATGTATACTAGACTGGGCCAAAAAAATCGACTATTTTTTTTTGTAAAGTAGGTATATTGAAAATATTGTTTGGGGTGACAAAAAAAAATTATGGTGAAAGTTTGAGTGTTAAGAGGTCTATCATCGCAATTTTAGATTTTTTTTTCCTGAGCGAGTTTTATCTCAGAACTCCCAAATCATTGAGTTTAACAAAATTGACTTAAGAATATTTTTTGAAGAAAATTAAATGCTCTACAAAAAAGGTTTGATTGGAATTTCCCGTCAGATGAACCGTTTTCTTACAATCATGCCTTAAAAATTGGTATAGTTTTACAATTTGATCTTTTAACTTTGGAATTTTGTAATTCATGTAAAAATCGGTACCCTGAAGAAATCAAATGCTCTGCAAAAAAAGTGTTTTATCATTTTTGGCTAAATTCACTCCATCAAAAGTTATTCAAGGTTAAATTTGAAGTCAAAAGGAAATTTTAACCTTGAATAACTTTTGATTGAGTGAATTTAGCCAAAAATGTTGAGAGGCTTTTGTAAAGCATTTGATTTCTCATAAGAATATTTATCGGTTTTTTATGGGTACTGATTTTTACATGAATTAAAAAATTCCAAATTAAAAGATCAAAATGTAAAACTATACCAATTTTTAAGGAAATGTTCATCTGACGGAAAATTTCACTTTAACCTTTTTTGTGGAGCATTTAATTTTCTTAAAAAAATATTTTGACTTAATTTTGTTAAACTCAATGGTTGGGAGTTCTGAGACAAAAACTTGCTGAGGAAAAAAAAATTGCGATGACCTCTTAATTAATATTAATATTATGGACCCAAACCATATTTTTGATATATTTTTCAAAAAAAAAATTGTTGATTTTTTTGACCCAGTCTAATGTATACCATGTTACTATTAGTTTAATTTTATTTCAATGTTTCTCTCATGGATAAATTTTGTAAATAGTAATTATTGTGCATTTTTCATTTGAATACAAAATCATTCCTACATAACATTTTTCAATACAATTTAGTATAGGGTCGTTTTGAGGGGTGGTCAATCCAGAACTGTGCATATAGATTTTTTTTAAATTGCTTATATGAATTCTTAAAAATGTTAATCTCAAAAACTGAAATAGTAGGCCTTGTATTATGTAAAAATATGGCTTTTTTAAAAATACAGTTTATCAAGATCTACACTTTAAAACAAATCCGGTTAAAATCGCACAATAAATAAAGATTTTACAGGGGTGAGTCGCAAACAAATGGGTCACACTGTAGAAGACTTCTTTCTATTAAATATAGGCCAGGCAACCCTACTTACAATGCATATATCTTTATATTACTATATTTTTATTAAAATATTATTATGCCAGGTTTTCTTCTGTAAAACAAAAATAATTTAAGTTTCAAGCCTTTCAAAAGGGCCTAATTGTGTTTTAAGCCTCAATTCCTTTTTGAAATGACTTAAATAACTTAAATAATTAACAGATTCTGGTGCAAATTTTAGTATGGCAAAACAAAAAAAAGTTTATAGCAAGTTAAATACATACAGAATTTATTCTTTTAGAAACCTGACAACATTATATTTGTTATGGATGCCACAATTGGTCAAGCTTGCGAGTCCCAAGCAAAAGCCTTCAAGGAAAAAGTAGATGTAGGATCTGTAATCATCACTAAATTAGACGGACACGCCAAGGGTGGTGGGGCCCTATCAGCGTAAATGCTTTAGTGACAATACAATTTAATTTTTTCTATAACTTTATTCTTTTCACAGTGTCGCTGCCACAAAAAGTCCCATCATCTACATTGGTACAGGAGAACACATAGACGACTTGGAATCTTTTAAAACAAAACCTTTCATTAGTAAATTGTTGGGTATGGGTGACATTGAAGGCCTCATAGATAAAGTAAACGAACTGAAATTAGAAGACAATGAAGAATTGCTGGAAAAAATTAAACATGGACAGTTTACACTGAGGGACATGTATGAACAATTTCAGAATATTATGAAGATGGGACCTTTTTCACAGATAATGGTAACAACGAATTTCATTAGAAATAAAATTATTACTAAAATGTCAAATGAATTTCTTATTCATTGGACATTTTTAAAGAGTAATTTCCTTAAAAAAATTATAAGTTTGTACCTCATTTAAAGCAAAAATTTTGTTAAAGTCGTACTCTAAACTGTTTGTCTTTTAGGGTATGATTCCTGGTTTTAGTCAAGATTTTATGACAAAAGGCAGTGAACAGGAATCAATGGCAAGATTAAAACGTCTTATGACCATAATGGACAGTATGAATGATGGAGAATTAGACAGTAGAGATGGAGCTAAATTATTTACAAAACAACAAGGCAGAGTTATCAGAGTGGCACATGGTTCAGGAGTTACAGGTAAATAAGTTTTCTTTGGTAACACTCTAGTAGAGGTAAAAGACAACAATATTAAAATATTTTTTTTGTTTTTTTTAAATTTGGTTTCTATTTAAAACAAAATTTTCTTGTAGCATTGTCTTTGTATGTTGTTATCCCATAATTTAACTTTTTCTAAATACTAATTTTTCCACAGCCTAGAAGGTAAAAATTATAATTGAGGGTCCCATGATCTAGCCTTGCAAAATCCCCTTAATTTCTATTGTTATTAAAAAAATTAATCTTAACCTGGAAACAAACTTAACACTTCATAAAAAAAACTACCCACCTTTAGTTTTTTTCCAACCTCTATGTTAAAAACGCTATTTAAATAATTTACGTGGACACTGAGGCTTTATGCGAGTCACCCCTGTAAAATCTTTATTTATTGTGCGATTTTAACCGGATTTGTTTTAAAGGGTAGATCTTGATAAACTGTATTTTTGGAGCAAAAAACGCCATAGTTGTACAAAATACAAGGTCTACTGTGTTAGTTTTTAAGAGTAAATTTTTAAGAATACATATTGGCGATTTTTTCTAAGCAAGGCACTGGATTCACCACCCCTCAAAACGACCCTTTATTAAATTTTATTGAAAAATAGTAGAAAAATGCATAATAATATCTACAAAAATTTATTTTGTCAAGTTATCCATGAAAAAAACATTGAAATAAAATTAAACGAATACATGGTACTATTACTTTAAGTTTAATTTTATTTCAATGTTTTTTCATGGATAACTTGACAGAATAAATTTTTATAGTTATTATTGTGCACGTTTCTATTTAAAATTTTTGCATAAAATTTTTAGTATAGGGTCGTTTTGAGGGGTGGTGTATCCAGTGCCATGCTTAGATTTTGTTTAAAAAAAAATCGATAATATGAATTCTTAAAAATTTACTCTTAAAAACTAACATAGTAGGCTTTGTATTTTGTAAAAATATGGCGTTTTTACTCCAAAAACACAGTATATCAAGATCTACACTTTAAAACAAATCCGGTTAAAATCGCACAATAAATAAAGATTTTACAGGGGTGAGTCGCAAACAAATGGGTCACACTGTATGTGACAAGCTCCGAGAAAACAGAGCTTAGGTCCAAAAATTCAAACCCATAATAGATTTTTTTATAAACAATGTGCTGGACAATGGCTTAAGCTCTGAAGGACATTACCTCAGAACAATTTCTTAAAAAAACAAAAAATATACAAGCTTCACTATACACAAAGAAGCTTTTTGTTTTAGCTTGAATTTTTCTCTCGCATTAATTTGGGCTCTCAATATCAATTTTTTACAATGCAATAATTAAATAATAAAAACATTTTTTTTATTATTATATTAACTCTTACATAAAAATACAAGAACGCAAAAATGAACAAAATATACCAACTAAAAAAAACTAGACCACATAATCTATAAAATTATCAAAAAATATAAGAAATTATATAATATAAATTAGAATGCACTTAAAATTAAAAGTAACAAAATATAGTAAAGGTAATTTATTGAATAGTAAAGTTAGGCGAAATATTTTTTTACCTATTAGTTAAAATGGCGACTATCTCTGGAATTACAATATTTATGGGAAATTAAATTAACCAACAAAATATAACACTAAACAAATCTTTACTAATAAAATAAGTAAATTTTTTGAATAAGATTGACAATTCAGGATTATATCTGGTTTACATTTTTTACATGATATTGGATAGGTACTTTTTTGTAGACAATTCAATTTTCTAAAAAAATTACAATAATATTACAATTATCTCTGAAACTTTATACGATAATTTATAAGTACCTACCTTTTTTGTATACAATTTAGTTTTCCAATAAATTATATCAAAAATTAAAATAGGCTTTGTTAAAATTACAATTTTAAGATAAAATCGCAACTATTTCTCCAACTGCAATATTTATGAGATAATTTATGAGGGGCCATTCATTTATTTTAAAATGAATCTAACATAAGAAAGGGAAGGGGGGGTTCGAGAAAAGTCACCAAAATTGTCCTTTTTTGTAGACAATTAAGTTTACTAACAAAATTTACCAAAAAATAATTGTTTACTTAAGGTACCGTAAACAGGGGGCTTTAGCTCACTTTCAAACTTAATCTTAACATTTTTGTAGTTTTAACAATCATAAACATTAAATATTGTATACCAAAATTTGAGTCTTGAGTTGCTCTGGTTGCGGGTTATTTTGTCTCACAGTGTATTTTCCGTATAAAATTAACTCAATATTTTATTTTATTTTTATTAGACATATGTTAGCAGCGACATATAGCAATTGCAAGGGATTACCGATAAAAACAATAAAAAATCGACCTGTAGTTAACCAAGGATCATCATTCCAAATAATTGCGCATAATATAGAAATTGAAACGCGTGTATTTTTAAGAGTTTTGCACTAATGCAATATATACAACTTTAAAGTGTAATAAATCCCATTTATTTTTTTAAAACACTGATTTTCCTGTAATATAAACTCAATAGAATCGCTCAATTGACAGGTTTAGACCAACAAATTATAAATGTTAATTTTATCGAGCGCGAAAAATGTTTTCTTAAAAGGGCTAAAGTCACCCGCGGGGTGCAAAGTCACCCGTGTTTACGGTAAGTAAATTTTGTTAAAAAAATTACAATTATTTGATAAAATCGCGATTATCTACGAAATTACAAATTGATAGGGACATTTGTTTAAGTCAATTACATTTCCTAACAGATAGTGTGAAAACAATTATTTTGTTACTTTCAATTTTAAGTGCATTTGGCGAGTCTAAGATGTCGACCAACAATTTTTGTTGCAAAAAATTTTTTTGCTATTACCAAATTAATTTCGAAAAAAGCGGATATTCGACCCACTCTAATAACGCTTAAAAACATAAGATAAGTGAACAGCTGTAAGGGACCATCCATTAATAGTGAGGCAATTTTGGCGATTTTTCGACACTATTTTTATGTAAAAATGTGTTTTCAGAAAAAGAAGTAAAAGACCTGATAGCTCAGTACACCAAATTCGCAGCTGTAGTGAAAAAGATGGGCGGTATCAAGGGACTGTTCAAAGGCGGCGACATGGCGAAGAACGTAAATTCGAACCAAATGGCGAAATTGAACCAACAAATGGCAAAAATGATGGATCCTAGAGTGTTGCACCAGATGGGCGGCATGTCAGGGTTGCAGAACATGATGCGGCAACTTCAGGCCGGTGCTGCTGGCGGTTTGGGCGGTCTAGGCAATTTGATGAGCGGGTTCGGGGGAAAATAAGTTAGTATTTTAAATTTAAAAGCAAGGAAACTTCTGGAAATGTAACTAATATGTTGTCGAAGGTTTCAGCAGTGTCTTATGTTTATATTTTTTTGTTTATTATAAAGTGAAAAATTTTATATCAATAAAGTTGATTTAATATAATTAATTTACTGTTTTAAATAAACTACCTGGACTACCAAATCATTTGAAAAATTCCTCAAAAATCATTTAAAATTAAATTATAAAACCACCCAAGCTTTTTACCTCTTTGGCTCAAAATTAGTTTGCTAATAGCAAAAATATTTATCTTTGAGGTTGAAAAATATGTGAAGGAAAAAAATCGGTCAACACCTTGGGGCCTAAGCCCAGGCTTTCCAATGGCACAAATAATATATAAAATAATAATAAAACACTACAATTAAATTATTTGTTCAAAGAAATTTTGTATAGTGGGTAAAAGAGGACCAAAACCATAAAAACTGCATTTACAGTTTGTAAAAGGTCGTTTGGGAGCCTAGCGTTTTAAAATGTCGAAAAAATAACGTTTATTCCCCAGGTCTTGGAAAAATTGTTTTTATTGCGAAAAATATTTATTTTTGAAAAATTAAAAAATAACTTTTTTTTAAATCCAAGATGTCCGAAAACTGGCACGCCGTTTTAACATTTTTTAAATAATTTTTTTAATTTAAAATTTTCCTAAATAAAAATTTTAGGTTTACATTTATAAATTTAAAATATTTTCAACTATCATGTATTAAAAGACAAAATTTACAAACAGTTCACTTCTGTATGAAACAATATCATTTTTTAATAAAAATAATTTCCCAAGTATAATTTATTTGGGTGGAATTTTGTAAACTTAAATAAATATTTTATAAAATTATTGATGTGTGGAATTTTCTCACCGAATACCGCGCGGGGTTAAATTAAATTCTGAATTTTTTTCTCGCTCAGGAATATTAGAAAATTATTCCTCGTATTTGACTCGGTATAATTTTTCAAATATTCATAAGCTCGAAAAAAATTTCGGAAATAATTTAACCTTTTGTGGTTTTAGTAGTGAAAATTTCTCAATTTTTAACCCCGGCTCAATTTTTAAAATTAGGCAAGCCTGATTAGGCTTAAGATGTGGTCACCTTAAAGACTTATATTTTTGCAATTACCAAATTAATTTCGAAATAGTGGATATTTGACCTACTCAACCAATCACTAATAAATGACAAAAATAATAAAATGCATTATCTGTTGGTAACTTTATAATATATTACTATTGATTTGATTTATCAACATTATATTGATGTGTAAAAGGGGAAATAAATAAAACAAAAATGTAAAAGAAAATGTACACCACACATTTATTTTTCAATTACAGAAGCAACCATATTTCTACAATCTTATAACTTTATAATATAATGTGTAAGCATTATGTATAATATATTAAAATCTATATGTATAATAATAAAATTTCACAATTTTAACAACTGTGGCGGAAAAATTTAGTACCATAAAGATAATTTACGCTTGCACCTAGTATAAGAAAGGGAAACCACGATTTTTACCCGAAACTAGCTGTTTCAAGTAAAAAACATTCGTTTAGGCACTATATTAAAATACTAAAAAGTATATTACTTACATAACTGGAACAAGTTTTATTTATTTAGTTTGCTCTGCTAACGCTCAAAAGTGAATATAATCTCTCAAATTGCATTAATTTAATATACACTATATTTAAGAATACTTCTAAAACTTTTAATAAATATAAAGAACCTCACAAATTTAAAACTTGGTCGTTTTGAATAAAATTAACAAAAACATACTTAGTCAATAAGTATTTTGGAATATGGTACAAATAAAAGTGTAAAGATAAAACATCTTAAATAATAAATAAAATTACAAAACCGGCATAGAATATCTATAATTATAGTCATCTAGTTTAATTGAATTAAGTAGCAATGACTGAACGGTTTGTTTATTGAGGATGTCTCTCCTCCGACATGAACTGATCAACGACATTTTGCATGTGTTCTCGGATCTCTTCTTCATTTCTTCCTCCTGGAGATGTGATCACTTGGCTCACTGTCTTCAGGACCCTTGTTGTCCTAAAATTACAGTGTTACATTATTACAACTTTGCAGGTGACCTAGTTTAGGTTGTAGGTCTGATTTTAAAAGTTAAACGCACTAAACAAAACAAAACTTACTTGGCTCCGGTTATGGGGTCGATTTCTTCTGTTTTTGTTTCTGTGTATTGAGGTTCTTGGTGGTAAAAGTCTTCTAAAAATTTATCGATGGGCAAACCAAAAGTTAGATTCGTTATTACAAATAAAACAAAAAAATATTAAAAATATTTTATGGGACGTCCACAAGTGTAAAATTAATATTGTTAAAGTTATTACCCCCACAAATTATTTTTAATATGATTAATAATAGAGTTAAAACTAAGGACCATGCTTTCTGTACGAAAAGAACTAAAAACAAAATAAGGGAAAGCTTCTAAAAGAGCTGGAAAGCTAACATAAATAATTTATAAGCCGTTCTTTGCATACAGAATTTAGTAGGATTTCAAAACGTAATTTTTATTATGTTTTGAATTTTATTAGAAATGTTAAATGCAAGCGTGTTGTGTAAATGTGTTGTATATCATGCCTCATTTTAATATTAATTTAAATTAATGAATAGTATTCATATATCATGCATATGAATATTTATAATGAATATAAAGATGATTTAAATAATTTGATTGGTTTCCTGTTCAAATTTTTCAAAAATATGCACTTGTTAAGAAAGAAATAACTAAAATATATTTTTATCAAAGTACTGTTTAAAACTATACTGGCAAACCAAAATAATGTCTAAATAAATAAGAACTAAAGGGATTTACTAAAAATATAAGGACTAAGTTTAATAAACTAAATATTTTAAAATTCTAAAATTATTAAAGTGAACTTAAAATTAAATAGACTTTTAACCAATTTAAAGTGCAAATTCCTGATCTAAACTCTTACTATTTGTTTTATTCTTTAATGTAATATAGATTTAATTAATCGTTGCGATTGTAAAATCTGATGTGCGAAAAAAGTTTGAGTAGTAGTAGTTTTTTTTATAAAACTTTTTGCAAAAAATATTAAAACCTAAGTTTTAAAGTGAATCTTTGTTTTAATTGAGAAGCTTAAGCTCTAATTTGTGGATAAAATGTGATAATTTTGTGTTAACCATAATAACACACTTTTCTTTTCTATAGCACAATGCTGTTCTGAGAATTAATTTTCAGACTTTTTTTGTGTGTAAATAAGAATTTCAGAGCAAAATAAAAAAAAATCACGCTTTGTTTTATTATTGTATTTATTCTGCACTCTTTTAACCATGGTTAATGCATCCACTTAAAACTTTTGAATTCAATTACACATGGGCAACACGTTTAAATTAGTTTAAAGGTGATTTAATTTTCTTAAAAAATTGTTTTTGCTAGTTTTTTATATCGTTGACCGTTTTTTTACAATACTATGCGATTTAACTTTAATTTAACTCTTAAAAGTATGCATTTATTTCCTTTTTTAAAAATGTGTCCAAGGATGCCATGAATTGGTAATTTGGGTGTATTTATTTGACATTTAAAAAAAAATTATTTAGCATTAAATATATGGGTGCAATCTTAAAAAAGTACAAATGGCTGGATGGTCTTTTACCCAGATAGCACAAAGGTATACTATGGACGTCGAATGGACGTATGCTCGTGGACGTCTGTATGTACATAGGATGTCCATTTTTTTTTCTATGGACGTCCCATGGACATCCGTTTAGAGTCCAGATGTCACAACTTTGGACATCCATAAGTCGTCCACCGATGGACGTCTATAAGGTGTTTGAACCATTCCTCCAGCATCCGGGACGTGCTTTTTTGCTTACTTTAACTGTTTTTTGCGACTGTATTTTCATTGCGATGTTGCAGAAAATTTTCTACAACATGACTGAAATGCCTTTTGTCTGGCTCAGTAACAATCCCACTAGGAATATAAATATTCTAAAAGTTGTTAAAGTTACAACATTTAATGTTGAACATTGCAGGAAATCCTTGTATTCGACTCAGGAACATTACATTTGCAACACTACAAGTGTTTAACATTTCATTGATAGCTTAGGTCCTTTATAGCACGCGCTTGCTTGCATGTCAGTGAGATTGATCATAACTGTTGTTATGCAGCCAACAATACGTTTTAACTTGCATTTCTGTAATAATAATTATGGACGTAAAATGGACACTATATGGACGTCCATTAAAATCGAACAAAGGATGTTAATATATGGACGTACATAGTACATCCATTTTTAGTCCGTGGACCAATGTACTTAAAATGGATCTTAAACGGACGTCCATTGGACGAATGGTGCTATCTGGGTAATGGGAATGAAAATTACAAAAAAATATTGACTACCAAATGTTTTTCACGTTTGGAAAAAGTTGTAAATATGTTTTTAGTAACCAAATAAATAATTTTGCAATGGATTTTGTTGATGTACAAATTCGAATAACTCCCAAAATTCATGGCATTAATTATTAATTTCCGAATTTTTACAAACGGATAAGGAAGTTATTTTGATCAGGCATTTGAAGGTGCCCACGCAGACTGAAAAGCTTTTTGGGTCCTTTACAAGTTGGGTAAAGAACATCCAGAATATCAGAAACGTTAAGTTACTGCAATTATGTAAAAAGTTTTTAAGAAATGTTTTAATTGAAATAAATTAGATATTAGGGATTAGGCTATGATAAGTTTTTTTTTAACTTTTAAAAACTAGTTAGTATTTATAATCTAAACAGAGACCTAAATTTCATGGCCACCTTGAATACATTTTAAATAAAGAAAACAAATGTATGTATACTAGACTGGGCCAAAAAAATCGACTATTTTTTTTTGTAAAGTATATCAAAAATATTGTTTGGGGTGACAAAAAAAATTATGGTGAAAGTTTGAATCCATAATATAAATATTAAGAGGTCTATCATCGCAATTTTGGATTTTTTTTTCCTGAGCGAGTTTTTGTCTCAGAACTCCCAAACCATTGAGTTTAACAAAATTGACTTAAGAATATTTTTTGAAGAAAATTGAATGCTCTACAAAAAAGGTTTAATTGGAATTTTCCGTCAGATGAACCGTTTTCTTACAATCATGCCTTAAAAATTGGTATAGTTTTACAATTTGATCTTTTAACTTTGGAATTTTGTAATTCATAAAAAATCAGTACCCGGAAAAAAAAACCGATAAATTTTCTTATGGGAAATCAAATTCTCTACAAAAAGACTTTTATCATTTTTGGCTAAATTCACTCCATCAAAAGTTATACAAGGTTAAAGTCAAAACGAAATTTTAACCTTGACTATTTCCCTCGTCTTAATTTCCACCAATCGCAAACGCGCAATTTTGAATTACAAATGGTTTCTAGGTGAAAAAACTGTGTGACAGCACCTGTCAGCAGTTTATTCGAGTTTACCCGCGGCAAAACTTGACAGCTGTTGTCACCAAAAATTGCAATTTATATTTTAATTGTTAACTGTTACTCATGAAATAGTCTTGTCAAATACCATTCGGGCATCTAATTTTTCCTGTGAAAAAAATCGAAAAAACACAATGCTAAGTAATATTTTTTAACAAAATGCATTCGTGCAGGTGCAAAAATCCTCCTCTTCGACTCGGATTTTTGTTGCCACCAGCACTCATGCTTTTTGTTAAAATATTACTTAGCAACGTGTTTTTTCGATTCTTTTCGGAAAAATTAAATGCCCTTATGATATTACTTACGAATAACTTTTGATTAAGCGAATTTAGCCAAAAATGTTGGGAGGCTTTTTTTTAAGGCATTTGATTTCCCATAAGAAAATTTATCGGTTTTTTATGGGTACTAATTTTTACATGAATTACAAAATTCCAATTTAAAAGATCAAAATGTAAAACTATACCAATTTTTAAGGCATGATTTTAAGGAAACGGTTCATCTGACGGAGAATTTCACTTAAACTTTTTTTGTAGAGCATTTAATTTTCTTAAAAAAATATTTTCGAGTCAATTTGACTCAATGGTTTGGGAGTTCTGAGACAAAAACTTGCTGAGGAAAAATAAATTAAAATTGCGATGATAGACCTCTTAATATTAATATTATGGACAATAATTTTTTTTGTCACCCCAAACCATATTTTCGATATACTTTTCAAAAAAAAAATAATAGATTTTTTTGGCCCAGTCTAATGTATACATAAAAGAGTTAAATTAAAACTTAAAAAAAATGCTAAAAAGTTTTTTCAAAAAATTAAATAATCTTCAGTCTGATTAAGACGTTTGGCCAATAATTAAATAAAATCAAAAGTTTTAAGTAAATAATTAAAAAGTGGATACATTTGTAGGAAGTATTAAGAAATATTAACAATAAAATAATAATAATTAACAAAATTCAATAATTAATTAATTTTAAGGAAAAAATTCTTGAACTAGCCAAAACAATTACTTCAAACTAAAAAACTAAATACTTACAGTTGTATTTATTAAAAAAGCGTACAAGAATTATAATGAGAGAAAACTGTCACCATAATACACTGCCCGTCAAAATTAACGCATAATAAGTAAAAAAAATTCTAACTCTAAAACGCCTTTACCAATGTTTATGAAAATTTGTGTAAAAATACTTCAACTTATACCTCAGTTAACGTGTTTGAGGTTTTTTTCGACAAAATATTTTTAAGGCCCTTTTATTTAATAATTAAAAAAACGTTTGAATAACTTTTAGTAAATAAAATATATGCTGTTAAAGACCGTATTTTTGTTAGTATACCCTGAAAATTTTGTACAAATCAAACGAACAGTAACGAAGATACAGCGCTTCAAAGTCGGTAAAAATAACCCCTTTTTGGTTGTTTTGCTGACAAATGGTCATTTTTGACGACTATGAAGCGCTGTATTTTCGTTACTGTTTGTTTGATTTATACAAAATTTTCAGGGTAGGTATACTAAAAATAATACGGTCTTTAACATCATATTTTTAGTTACTTAAAAAAATCCCCAAATGTTATTTTTCGAACGTTTTTTTATTATTAAATAAAAGGACTTTAAAATTCTCGAAAAACAATCAAACACGTAAACTGAGATATAAGTTGAAGTATTTTTACACAAATTTTCATAAGATTGGTAAAGGCGTTTTAGAGTTACCTATTATCCGTTAATTTTGACGGGCAGTGTATAATGCTTAAAGAATTTTTTAATTTTATTTAATAAACCTCCTTATGTTTC